CCCCTCTCATGGTCGTCAACGCAGCCGCTTACTCATGCCGCCGTGTGTCGACCTAGCACGCCTGTCAAGCGCTGAGTGCACGCGTGTGACGGCCTTCGGCTTGTCAACGCCGATCGATATTTTCGTCATCATGGATCGATCACAGCTGCACAGCGCTCAGGCGCGGACGAACAACTAAGATTGCTGACACAGCTGGTGAGAACATGTTCGACCTCTGCCTACTGAGTCCCGCGTACAGTGGGTGGGCTAACTCATGAAATGTCAACCGAAATTACGAAATGTGTTTTCGTTTCGAAAAGATGAATTAAGTAGGGTTGTAAAACTAATCATCGCGCAGCATAATTCTATAATAATTCAGTTACCTTAGGACACTGGCTTTCGAACGAACTTCCTTCCGGCTGCATGCAGAAACCGTACTCTGTAAAAAAGGACTACCTAAGTGGCATGCATTTTCTCAATGATTTGAAAAACCCTTAAAAATTCATTTATATTTAATGGAAAACATGCATAAAATATTCCTTCTTTAGCTCATTCGGTAGAAAATTACGTTTTCTTCCAATTTTATGCTCAAAGGAAGGGTATTATTCGCTTTTCAAAAACTTTTCCAATTCCCGAATAATTTTGAACCGCTACCTGCCGTTACACTGGCATTCAGGGTTTCAAAACTACAAGCCGTATACTTCCCGCGTACGAAAAACCATGGATTTCTCTACGGTATTAAGAGGAGATCATATGGGGTTCATAAAATGTAGCGGTGAATTTGAGCCATATTGCTAACCTTACAAGCCACATTGGTAAATGCAGACATGGCGTTTTATGAACGGCCATTTCACGGTATTAAAATATCTCATGATTAGAAACTTCTTTCAAACCAAATTCGACCCTTCCTTTGAATATAAAATTGAAAAAAGACGTCATTTTCTACCGAATGAGCCAAAGAATGAATATTTGTATGCATGTTTTCCATGAAATATAATTGGATTTTCAAGGGCATCGATAATCAAGGAGGAAAATGCATGTCACTTAAGTAGTCATTCTTTACGGAGTGTGGTTTTTGCATGCATCCGGAAAGAAGTTCGTTCGAAAGCCGGCATCCTGAGGTAACTGAATTATAGTGTAATTATGCTGCAAGATGGCCAGTGTTACAACTTTACTTAATCAATCTTTTCGAAACGAAAACGCATTTCGGAATTTCGGTTGATAGTTCATGAGTTAGCCCACCTACTGTACGCTCTCTGGCTTCTGCATCGGCTTGACCAATAACTCTTTCTTACTTGACTTTTGGTTTGGGACTTTTAACATCGACAGGTCTGCTCGCAACAAGTGCATTTCTTCTGATTTCGTAAAAAAACAAGATGTCACCAGTGCTGGAAGTTAGAACAGCATTATTATATGCAAGAAATGAAGTCGTCAAGGCGGGAAGAGGATTCCCATGGAATATGGAATGTTTGAGGATTCCAGGCCTTCTTCAAAGAAAAGTACCGAAAAGTGCGCAAGTACTCTCGGCAATAAAATTTCTAAGTCAGCCTTTAGGTGCGTGATGACCGAATTAGAACATGCCGCACATACTCAAAAAGTGCGTACTCTACTTTGAAAGGTGGAACAGTGAGCAGTTCATTCTCCTGCGAAGCCGGACCCAGTGCATACCGTTGAGCTAAAGGTGACAAGAACTGAGCTCATCGCTCTAGGCAAGTCAATCCGGAAATGACTTTTTTCGCGTGGCAATTTCAAGGCTAACATATTGTATATTACGAGGCACAAACTTCCCACATAATTGAGACGATGTCTCAACTTGCTTCACTGTTTCTACAGCAGAGTCCAACGCATATATTTCGAGTCTGGGCAGTCTAAAAATTAGGAAAGGTCGTCTGAGGCAGTATAATTGGCGGGGTGCGATAATATGGATTCCTCTTATTGGAAGTGACCTTATGCTAAATTCCAAGGAGTTTAATGTTCATATCGGGGGTGAGTTCAGGATTATGGTCGGAAGGGTTAGGGTTAGGGGCGTGGTTGAAGTTAGGACACGGGAATACGTACTCCCTGTCGAGGTCGACAATTCGAGGATTCCCAAATCACAATTCAGGGAAGACAGGATTGATGGACGGACTGTATTGAAGCCGGGGAGTGTATACGGGACTCAGTAAGCAGGGCGTGGTGCGGTTTGTACCTCCTTCCCATATAAATGTACAGACCCGATAAAAATTTATCGAAAGCACGCGTAAGCTTTCAAATGCTCTTCTGAATTGCTCCATGGATATTTTCGCAACTTTAAAATAGACTAAATTGGAGACTAGGCGAGCATGCTTCGGACACCAGGTGACCCCAGAAGAACGCGTGGCGGAAAGGGAACGTTGGGTGAAGTGATCAGACTAAGCAGTACGTATGGTCACTCTCATAATATATATTTATTAACAGGAGGAAAATTCGGCCGGAACCTGACGAACCGACAAGTTTTCCCCCTTCGTGTAAAACAGTCTCGGAAAAAATCGACAAATAAATTTTCAGGCTGATGAAATCATGTCATGAAATTTCCAAATGTTTGAATGTCTTGGTTACATCTCGCCCAGTTAAGTCCAGTCGGGTCTAACTGTTATGGAAAGTGCAAGCGGCGTAGAGCCACGGCTTAAGGCGCTGAACAGAGTACTGAGCCGGCGGCGTGATACACGCGTGAAGTTAGATGGCCGACCGGCTTGCACTGCAGCGCGAGCAAGTGTGGTGCCTTTGCTCATGCGTGCGGCCCAATCAGTGGCTGGTCGAACATTCCGGATGTTTCCGCAGCGGGACTATCGTGCACGCGGTGGCCAATCAGCGAACAGCACGCCCGGGGCAGGAACATTCTAGAACGCCCTCAACGGCTGGCACGTCATTGGACGGGATGTTCCAGAACGTACAGGAACCAGTATAAATAGCGCATCTTATGAGTTGTAACCCCTCGTGTCCGCAAGTTGCCAATGAAGTGCTGGTCCTCCGAACCGGCTCTCTTCCTGTTCCACCTTCCGGGTTATAACACTAACCTTGATAAAAGCGGGCTTCCATACGCAACTAGTATGGCCCTTGGAGGGTGATGGGCCGGACTAAGTGTAAGGCTGCGTGTCACCCTTCAGGGCCTTAAGGTTTGTTTGCTTCTGTTAAGCCATGATTCAGCAAACCATGGGTCACGTGACCTGGCGTGCGCTGGCAGTTCATTAGTTCCCTGTCAGTGGATGTGCTGGCGCTCCCGCTGGGTATACGGGTCGTGTGCATGGCTGCCCAGTCATCCACGTCCTTTCTGTTGTTGTAGATGTGCAAATGCGATGACTAAATTTGCATTCAAAAGCCCGATATACCACGGCGCATGAATTAAGACGATACTACTGCAAGTATGCTCCTATGAAGTGGGATTCACCGGCCGTAAAAAGAGACGTCTGGAAGAGAACACCTGCATGAATGGCTGAATAATTTGGAAATACATTTGTTTGAGGTTCTATTCTCACGCATCCAGTCGACGGGAATTACCGAATCGACGCAAAAAATGTCTTTCAGGCTGTGTATGGGACAGCAATAAACTACTCTGAAGGGTTACACCAACGGGTGCTAGCAGCCGAGACAGTGACTACTCACTTAGCAGATCCAACGATTTGTTTTCAGAAAACGTTGTTTCAAGCTCTCTGTCCTGCTTGGCCGACTCCCTGTTGTGATCGCATACTGCCCCAATCGCTTAACGACCGCCATACCCTTTCAACGTGTTTAACACCGCTCACACACTGTCCTAATGCAACTCACCCGGCCACAACGACGACCAGACACTGACTTCGCCATCAGGCGTTGGTACGTGTGGTGTGACTACCTTCCAGAGATGCTTTTAAACCCGACCCACATTCATCCTTAATGTAATCTTTGTGGCCTTGTGATGATGAACAGTCCGGAAACGTATGTTTACTAATCGATATTGCAAACTACGTTTTCTTAAAAAAATTCCGTGACTCAGCGTCACTGAGCAATTGACTCCTTGCTAATAGTGAAATTTCGAAGGTTGTATTTCTGTCCTCAAAATGCCTAACTCGGTTTGAAAATATTCCTGTCAAAATTGTTTGTGTGGGCGGCGTTTAACTATTGTTGAACGCGATTTTGTGCATGCTTTGACTGAATTCAGCCTTTTCCAATGGACGTGGTAAGAAAAGTAGCAAGATGATGCCTAAGGACAGCTATCACGAGTACTTTCCGCGCCGCGTACATACGCGTATTTTTCACAAACCCATCCCCACGCGGCTAAATGGCAAAGCCCGACTATCCCTACAGAGAATACTGATAAATATTTGGAAATTCACCCACTGCTGGTTGTACAAAGGGACATCTGGAATAGACATTTCGACCATCGATTTCGATGATGTCCACCGTGTGCCCCACAGACTGCATTGTGGAGCAGGGACGGTGACTTACGCAGGGGTTTATAGTGCCAGTAGACTTGCGTAGCATCTACCTACACTCTCTCCTCCTCCCCGCCTGAGCCCGTTGTCAAGACCAAGTCAAGAAGACCGGAGACGAGGGAGGCCGCAGGTGGATGGCTCGGACGGATCTTCGCCTTGGCGCTCCACTCCGCACCCCCTGGTCCACACACAAATGACCAGGATTTTGACCACAAAACAATGGGGTGATGACGGTGCTCCAGTTGTGCGACGAATGCCGACAACAGGGTCCGCCAGCGCACCCCGTAAGTGTTGGCATTTGTTATTGCGCACAGATAACGCCTGCCAGAGTACGATGTGGCCCCCGTGTTGGTCCAGCGCATCTAACACGTGGCCCGTTTGGAGGGCAAATCTGGAATAGAAGGCATGCGAACACGTACCTGTCCCAAAACTGGTCCATGCGGTAGATGCGCTAGACCAACACGGGGCCTGCACTGGACTCTAACAGGCTTCATCAAGAATGCATGCCCATAGCAAATGCTAACATTTGGGCTGCGGTGACAAGCCCAGTTGCCGGCTCAGGTCGGGCCAATGCGGATATCTGCCGTCCCGCATTGTTATTGTTTTTGGTTAAAATCCTGGTCAAGTGTATGTTGTGGACCCGGGGATGTTGTAGTACGCCTAGGTGCGGATCCGGCTGTGTCAGCCACCGACACCCTCTCCCGCCTCCAATCTTCTTGACTAAGTTTTGACACCGGGCCCAGGCGGGGGAGGAGGGAGTGTGCTAGACGCTGCGAAAGTCGCTGTGCAGCACACGGTGGGCATCGTCAGCTGCAACGGTTAAACTATCGTGCGGTAACGTCACTCTCCTCCCTATGAGCTGTGACTGTCCGTTATCACTGCGCTGGTCACTTAATTTGCATCGGGGGCCCAGATAACTAAGTCATTCAATTTATATCTCCAAGGCTTCTACTGGAAAACAGTCTCGTCCACCCACAATTGCGTCTACATGCAGATACCCGACAGATTTCATCTCGAACGCAGCCGTTTATACGCCCACATCGCCAGTTCGGCCGTCGTTACTGAGGACGCCCACCTCGTGATGGGTGCTAAACGGCGACTTGCACTGTGTCTAACGCACTATCTCGTCCCTCACCCTCTTGGGCCCGATGTCAAGACAGAGGCAAGAAGACCGGAGGTGGGATCGGGCGCAGACGGCTGGCGCGGCACGAACCTGTTTCACTCTTTTGCGTACGACTTAACACGGCTTGGCATAGCCAGCGGCCACTCCCCCCCCCCCCGAGGCAGTAAGTCGGGGTTCTGTGTACAACTAGGACCCTCTTTCCGTTGTCTTCTATCTTCTCCAGCAAACCGAGATCTCACGTGATTATTGCGGCTTTCGTGGTACACCGAATACTAGAAGTTGCACTTGTTTTGCCGTACCAACGCTGTCGGAAATGTCAATAGAAAGATCAGTCAAAGAGAATAAACCCCTCCAGAGGTTCAGCCACCCGCTGTCGCGGTGATGACTGGGAACGCACACAGATGCCAAGCCGGCCAAGCATCCACCAAAAAGTCGGGGTAACTAGAGAAACAAATCGATCAAGACAAGGGCGACCAGCGCGACAAGCCCTCTGAAGCACCGTCACTTTGGTAAATCTGTTCAAGTTGGCCCTTCCTCTATCTCAGTAAACTACTACTACTACTACTACTACTACTACTACTACTACTACTACTACTACTACTACTACTACTACTACTACGACTACTACTACTACTACTACTACTTCTACTACTACTACTACTACTACTACTACTACTACGACTACTACTACTACGACGACTACTACTACTACTACTTCTACTACTACTACTACTACTACTACTACTACTACTACCACTAATGTTGGATAAAAACAAAACATATGTCGTCAGTTATTTGAAAGAGTTGTGCCAGTCGTGCTTACCTCATTGAATCCGGAATGAAGTGTTTGCTTTTCAAGTAGACGGGAACTTCGTAATTTGCTCCCTTCACAAGATCCCATGCGAGAAGCCATTTTTTCTGGAAGGTGTCCCACTCATCCAAGTAATAAATGTATATTGCCCTGAAGTGCGGGGGAAAACCGAACTTCATCCTGGACTTGGACCAGTACAGGGGATATTCTATAAAGTCCTCGGAGCATAAAACTCCGTTCAATGTAATCGCCAGAACGAAATTTATTGCGAAGCTAATCGGCATAGTAGGAGGGAATAGAGCCCCCAGAAATTCGGCAGTTTAATGAATTTGACTGCAGCCGTGTTGTTTACACCATTATTTTAATTAAAAATCGATTGCTCCAACCACGGCCTCAAAGTTATCGATCGGCGAACGCGAAAATAGGACTTAACATTTTCCTCACGTGGTGACTTCCTCCTGCCTGTTCGAATGTACTCCTTGAAGCAATCTGGCATCAGTCGTTGGAACCACTTTCCTCAGTAGGGGCACTAACAGCCCTAATTTGATCGGTGGGACCGACTTATGTTGCCTCGTAAACCAGACATGGGAGTAGAAACGGCCCGCCCAAAGTACTAAAAGGGGCAAAATTTCCCCTTATCCCAACTCCAAAAATAGACCTGATATAAAATTAAATCTTTTTTGCTTTTTAATTTCCTCAGAAATTATCTACGAAGTTGGAGTAGATCGGTTTATTCAAGGTCGATAGGCTCACACCGAGAATTTTATACATGAATATTTTGGCCAAAGTCCATCAGCCACAGCGGGTAACCACGTAATAGTCATTAACTGTCGACAGGCAGCTAGTAGTATACTTTAGGGTAAGGTGATACTATAGTAACAGCACAGGTACTAGCCAAAAGCCCATACACGCGTGTTTCGCCGATGTTCTGCCGTTGCATGGCGCAGCTGCGAGAGGTTCGGCTCGTCAGTGGGTCCCCCAGCATTCCCCGTTAAATCTTTGGCCTTATACCGACCTAATCCTGTGCAAAATTTCGGAAGGGGCAAAATGTTCCCTTGTCCCAAGCCAAACGATAAACCTGATTCATAAATGTTTTGGCACATTCTGAATAATTCATATTGACCCAACTGTGAAAAACTCGGCGCCTCGGTGGGATTCGAACCCACGCAGTAAGGGGAAGGCCTTAGTACAGCCAACGCGCTAACCACTTGAGCTACGACGCCCCGCCGGACGATGCGAGTTTAATCACATTTGGGTCAAATTTACCCACTCAACCTACCACAACGCTTGGAATCCACCAAATGTGATACAGTAAGCTGACTGCCACAGCAGGATTTCCTAAGTAATACACCTAGATTCCACCGGGAGACTACTGGGCTCACGTAATTCAAAGATGATTTGGCAGATTTTGAATAAGTCATATTGATTGTTAATTCATAAACTATTATTTCATTATTAATTTCATTAGTAATTGATATTGATTAAACTCGCGTCGTCCCGCGGGGCCTCGTAATTCAAGTGGTTAGAGCGTTGGCTGTGCTAAAGCCTACCCCTTACTGCGTGGATTCGAATCCCACCGAGGCGCCGAGTTTTTCACAGTTGGGTCAATATGAATTATTTAAAATCTGTCAAAGCATCTATGAATTACGTGAGCCTGGTAGTCATCTGGTGAATGCTAGGTGAATTATTTAGGAAATCCTGCTGGGGCAGTCAACTTACTGTATCAGATTTGGTAGATTCCAGACGTTGCAGTAGGTTGAGCGGGTAACTTGACCCAAGTGTGATGCAACTCGCGTCGTCCGGTGGGGCCTCGTAGCTCAAGTGTTTAGAGTGTTGGCTGTACTAAAGCCTTCCCCTTGCTGTGTGGGTTCGAATCCCACCGAGGAAGCGAGTTTTTCACAGTTGGTTCAATATGAAATCAACCTAGTATCAATATTCAGTATCAGTATATTTGAGGGAAAGTAGGTGTGTACCTTTGAAATCCCTATTGGTTACATGCAGAGGATATAAATGGAAGAAATGGAAAGGAAGTAACATGAAATAAATGCGAGGGGAATAGCAAAAACTGTACAGATGAACACATAATGTTATGCGTTAACAGAATTTAGAGGCACATTAACTTGCTTTGTTGATCAAGTACAGCGGACAGTTGAGGCACACTTAAGATACGGGAAAAGAAGTAAAATTGTTTAGTCTACAGGCATCGTAGTGAATGCGAACAGCGGTGTTCTGAGGTAAAATTAAATCCTTGGTCTTATCTCGACCTAATCCTACGCTGAACCTTAGCTCTGCAGTTAACACGAGCCCTCACCTTGATCCTGACTTACCCTGCCGTTGACTTTAAATATAGCCTTAAACCTAACCCCAATTTAACTGGAAGTTGGCTCAGAGCAACCCTTATTGCGGGCGGTTCCTTTTCTCATGTTCTGTTTGGGGGGTCACATAAGTCAGTCACATCATTTGATCGATCTGTACTGGACGGTCGAAACCATCTAGAAGGAATGAGAACTCGTTACAGTTGCGAGTGTAACATGTGAACTGAGGTAGGGGCCGAAGACTAAACGATGAAAAGTGGCATAGACTCATTCGTTTTATGTCGACAAAACAAACACACACAAAAGATTAAACTTACGGCTCCCGGTGGGACATCGTTGAGCAAGTGGTGAGAGCGTTGGCTGTACTCAAGCTTCGTCATCGTCATCTGTTGCATATTGCCCCCGAGAAAAACGAGGAGCTTTCTGGAATGTGTTCATTAATGCGCCGGCGTTTAGAAACACCAAACTGCTTTTCACTATCAAAGTTCGAATTGCTATCATGTATTCTCATGCCCTTAGAAAATTACCTGCAAGCTTTTCCGGTTTAATAAAGGAGGGCA